GTACTTCATAACATGCCATAATGTTGTGCCGAGTTTAGTTCTTCTAGTATGGGCCGTTAAAAAAATAACAGGGGGTCTCCACACTTTTTACTAACCCTGTATGTTAAGTCAGCATCAATGTTTACATTTCTGTTGTTTCCAAACATAAAATATCGTGTATTTAGCAACGTTTTCATAATGCACTACTTTGATGCTAGCTACCGAACCGAAGAAATTACCATAGGTTTTTTCTGTTCCCTATTTGAAGTTATTCCCGAAAACGATGCTTTTGTCGACGAATTAAGAGGACTAAAAACGGTTGCTTTTCGTACAGTATGATGAAAATCGACTTACGCTATGTATATTTGCTTACATCGACATTTTCAATTATTTTTCTGAAAACAAGTTCAATCTCCTTATTCCTAAATTTCTTATTTACATTAAAATTAGGTCCTTTTCAATCTAAAACTACTTCCACTAGGCCTACTGTTTTCCAGGCTGCAATGTTATAAGCTACGAATCATTTTTAGCGAATTAAGTTAGGTTTGTTTAGGTTATGTTCGGATTCGAGACACAACGTATAACTTCAATGGAATTTTTACATACAGTAATCATACAACGGCAAAGGTTAAAAAGAGGTTTCTACGGTTAAAGGATATTTTATACACAACGTTTATATATTGTAAAATATTGGCACTGACAATGTTTTTAATATGTACTTTGGTAGCACAATTAATTTGTTTTTGTTGCATTGAAAAGTATTCACTGCATACAGAATACAACGTATATGAAAACGCTCCTGAATAAATATCTGAAATTGCCGTTAACTTATCATAAGTGTTGGAAACGATTTATATAACAAACCTTATAAACAAATATGTTTTGGATACGACAAGGTTTGTACAAACCATCAAGACTAGCCACTTTGTATCAAACAATTCACCAAGTGTCTACCAGTTAAGCACAATTTTCCTCAAGCAAAGCTCGGTCCCCGGGTCCCAGCCGAGCACTACCGTCCTTGTCGGGGTCATTACTCCTGAAGTTGATGAACTGACCAAAATTAAGAGGTTCTTGCAGCGAACAATGTTGTAAGACTGGAGCGTGAGCGTGTTTTTGTCGTCTTCGTGATCGCCCGGCCTCCCTTTCCCGGCGTCCTCTGCGGAATCTTCGATTCTTTCACATAACTCTTTCACGATCCCGGTCGCTATTCATCTAATTAGAGCTGTTACAGAGCAATTAACTCTGGCGATCCTCTTTGGTGCAATTAACAGAGTATTTTGTCGTTTTTAGGAGTTTTTACCTCGGATTATGTTTGTCTTGACAGCAACAATGGCACCACTTTCGAAAGTCTTGTTTGGTGAAAAAGTCTGGTAGGAAGATATTTATTTACAGCGGAGCCATAATACTCATTGATGAATTCTTTGTGGGGAAATTAATTTAGATGTTTTGGCATTACGTGGTGAGGTTTAGACTTAGTCCAAGTTTAATTTATGACTTCTAGTTACGCCATCAGGGTTTAATTTTAATAGATAAATGGGTGTCAGCACATCCTTTATGCATTAGGGATCCGTCCATCCAATTGCATTGAGACTTATAGAATGTATCTGCAGTATACAAATCAGTCAGTGTCAGTATTATGGAGCTCCACCTCCGGTCTTTCAAAGCTATTACGAGAACAAAATTATTAGTGATTTAAATAAAGACAATAAGTAAATTATGATGTTAACATTTTCAACTACTTTACCCAGTCGCACAAGTGATCGACACCAAAGAGATTTTTAACTTAGAAGTACATATATTTATCTTATGATGTTATTTCTTATAAGAAATATTTATCATTGGTTACTAGTTATATTGTAGAAGTTTTAAATTATTTACTTTTATAATTTCAAAGTAATACTCCTCGCAAAACACATTAAAAACACTATCGAGGAGTTTACGCGAGTTGCGTACACTAAGACAGTTTTTAAATCACTAACAATCACTACTGTACTCATAACTTCTAAGATACTAATGTTATGTTTTCGTTTATAACCTCTCATTGCCACTGACAGTGATGCAACGAATCATTGTTAAAACCCTGCAACACTCGCGCGGGTGACAGTTGTCACCCAGCGCTTTTGTTTAGGGCACAGCTCGGTCGCCGAATGGGGGAAAGAGGTGTGATCTTCAGTAGCTTTCTGTTATAAACAATAGATCCTCCTATGTGTGTTTTCGCGCGTCGAACCGGTTGGTGGCCCGTGTTATATCGCTCAATAGTCGACTGGGTGACAAGTGTCCCCCGCGCGAGTGCAACCGTCATGAATGTACCGAAGCGCCCGCGATAGTGTGATGACCCATAATTCTGGACATGTTGATGGAAGATAGTTCTGATAAAGATATAATTGAAAATGACAATGAAGAGGACCAGATAGAGGCAAAAAACCACGTGTTGGACATTGAAGAACATTGTGGACAGACATTGTGGAGTAGACAATACCTCCTGTCATTTATATAGTTCTGCGTACATGTTTTTCTATTATTTATTTTGCTTTTTTATGCTTTTTATTTTTAAATGATATATGTCAGTAGAGGAATAAACGGCACATGTTTCAACACACTTGTAACTATGCATACCTTCAATACCATGTGATTTACAAAGATGCACACTTTCATTTGAAACTGCTATATCTACAGTAATTTCAGTTTTTACAAAATAAAAAACATATTTTGGCAAAGAAATATCTGTGTTTGTGTTCATTATTAAACTACTTTTTGAAATAAAAATTAATTTTAATATGTTACCTTGAAAAAAAATTACAAATGTTAAGGGTAAAAATCCGTAAAATTATTTTTGGTCAAAAAAGAATGATACCGTATTTTAAAATTTAACATTTTTAAGTTATACTGGACAGAAAAAAAACATGAATACTATTCATAAATAATCTCAAATAGTCACTTAATAGGTTTTGAGACATAATATTACTATAAAACAAATATTTTTACATATATATATACAAAAACGAAATGGGGGACAACTGTCACCCGCGCGAGTATCCATGTTATGAGATATGGCGCGAGTAGTGCAGGGTTAATAATTTCACAACTCATTAAATTAGTCTAAACAGCTGATTAGTTGACGTTCGAAGCATTACAATTTGACTTGTTCTCTCTCAATCCTAGAAACTTATTGGTCCGTTACTCGTGTTGTAAAACAACAATGCTAAGTAAGTAAACAATGCTGTTAAGTGAATCTTTTAAATTATAAATAACTGAACTGAAACGGCTACTTAAAAAAAACGGTCGTAGGTAAATGTATTTTCACCCCGTGGCTAACTTCATTATAGTGAAATATGATGGACAAGAAAATACTTTACCGTAGGCCAAGTAACACTATTAGTTAGGGCCCCTCTATTGCATGGCCATGCTTGACTTGAAACTACAAGTATAGATTATGAAAGCAAGAGGAACTATTCGCTAGTCTGTAATTTAACGGTTGTCCAAACATTATTCTAAACAGCTGCATCCATGCAATTCAGGTGCAGGATAGCTTCGAGCTGCATTGCCTATTCATAACAGTGTTTAACATAAATGTCAGCGTAAGTCAGAACAATTTAAACGCTTTATTTTAAAGTACCTACAATATAGAGGGCGACGGCCGGCAAACGACTTGCGTTTAATGCACGATTTATTGTGTTGAAAATGTATTTTTCACTGTGGATATAAATAACAAGACTTTCAAGAGTACGTCTTTGGTTAGAAATGCACTTGTTAGATTTACAGATTGATATTGCTGGTATCAAAACAATGATTATATATTAAACTAAGTAAAATAATTTTATGTTGGATGAACTTAAAAGGTAAGCTGATTGAATTTAGTTGCAATTTGCAAAACACCTATATTCTTGTGAATCTGTTTTAGTTCCTAAACATTGTTTAAGAATTAAGTGTGAAACTGTAGTGGCAGATTTTTATAATTTGTTATGTGGAATAATAAATAATCTAAATTTCGGTCCCCTCAACAATATTTCAGAACATTAAATTAATTTAATTCACTTCTGGTTAGTGTTGCTTTACTTGCATGTATTTACTCCCTTGATTTATTTATACGATTTTTACATCGGATGGTATTCGCTACTTAAAGAATCACTATAGAATAAGGGTCTAAATTGTATATAACCATATTTCAGAAAGAAATTCTAAAATCGTAAAAAAACTCGTCAGGTTTTCCTAGATTTTAACAACTTTTCCCGCAAAATCACGAAACCTAATCTAATACCGAATTAAAGTGGGTGCACTTTTGCTTGACCATTAGAACCAAAAGGCTGTCACTAATATTCCTAAAAGCCCTTGGCACATTGATAATCAACGAATCTGAATTTCTGCTTTTCCTGTACTCAATATCGTCCATAATCATTTCCACAGTGTCAGTTACAATGACTGGTTCCTTTTACACTCTAGGATGTTTTGGTTTCCACCTCATTAAACGCTGCAGAATGATGGTCCCGCGATGAAGACTGTTGGATGTGGAGCGGAACTAACTGTCAGATAATTGCTGAATTAAAGAGCAAATCGTCACAATAACGTAACCATCGGTGGGTATGATTTTAAAAATATTATCAACAAAATGACGACACAATTGCTGATGAGCTCATGTCAGTGACAATATGTGGAAGATTATTCCGAATGGTAACGTTTTATCTATAGTAATAGTGTTCCTTTTTCGACAAAGCAATAAATTATTTTTAACAAGAACATCATAAATATCGAAAGTATAGGATGATGTACTGCCACCACCAAGTACTTAAAACTGAAAATATGAAAAATAACTAGTTTTAGTAGAGCAAGTGTTTGTCAGTTATCTTGAGGAAATTGCACTTATCTAAGCATTGTTAGCAAAAGTGTTCTACCCTTACTATTACCACTAATATATAGTTATAGTTTTACAGGTTGTTAGCGTGGAAGTCAAAGGGATGCCTCTTCTGGTTAAACAAAACAATGGATTAATAATAATAGCATTATGTAATCACAAAATTCACAAACTATACATTCTTTTTCCGTTTGCTGAGATACCGTAGAGCAGCCTGCGCCAGACCTTTCGTAACTTTTGCTGTGACTTCTTCAAGCTTTCGAGATTGGTATACTGAAGTTGCAGCATTATAGAGTTGTTGAGGAAGCAAAATCTTGTGTTTGGCAACAGCTTTAATGATCAATGCGCCGACATAGATGACGAAGTAGATGCTGAAGAATAAAGGGACGTACCACAATTTGGGACCGAGGTAGTAGTAGGTGTAGTCACTCTGCCGCTCTTCCTGAGGAGCTGGTGGAGGTGGTGGTGGTGGTGGAGGGGGAGTGGGTATAGGGAGGTATTGGTTGGAAGGTGGAGAAGGAGGGTAGTAGTAGTAAGGTGTTGGATTAACCGGAAGTGGTGGAGGAGGTCTTGGAGGTGGTGGTGGAGGTTTGTAGTCATACCCTCCAGGCAGAGGGGGAGAAGTTGGCGCTGAATAATCATAATTCTGGTATTGCACAGGAGCAGAATCAGCAACCACCTCAGCAGCACTTCCCTGCGCCGTGGAATCGGGTTCCAGAAACGCTTCATCTTGGGAACTCCCACTAGCTTGCAGATCCGGAGGTGCTGGAGGAAGTACTACTTCTCCGGTGTGCGAGTCGTCTGGGCTCTTCACGAAAGGGTCAGGTTTGGATTTGTGAGGATGGAAGCGATCCTGTGCGTAGTTGTTGTATCCGTGGTTGTAGTAATCTTGGTTGTAAGTGCTGGAGGTGTCGGTTGGAGGCACTAAGTAGCTGGCGGTGTCCTGGTATGACACGTAACTTGATGTGTCACTGGAACTGGACCCAACGTTGGAACTGTCTTTGGATGGGGATACATTGTAGTTGGATGTATCCATGGAAGTTCCAATGTAGTTAGAGGTATCTTTGGATTGGGATACACCGTAGTGTGATGTATCCATGGAAGTTCCAACATAGTTGGCAGTATCTTTGGATTGGGACACACCGTAGTTGGATGTATCCATGGAAGTTCCAACGTAGTTGGCAGTTTCTTTGGGTGAGGATCCAACGTAGCTTGAAGTGTCGGAGGCAGGAACCTCGTAGTTGGAAATTTCCACACTCGGAGACACCACATAGCTGCTTCCCACACCGTAGCTGTTTTGGTCCATATTTTTGTAGCTGCTAGGGTTGTAGCTATTTTGGTTGTAACTGTTTCCATAACTTCTTCCGCTGGGTTCTGATTCAGATCTGAAACAAAATGTCCATCTAACTAGTTCACGTGTATGCTAGTATGAAACGAAAATAATCATAAACTTCTAGGAATATAAGTCAGTTCTCTAAGTTTTATACAAATGGATAGCTAATAGTTACTTATACATCGTTATGTCTATCTAATTACTGTATATCTTTATTTTATTAGATTTGCTGCACTTAAATAAAAAAAAATGTATCTACTGTAATTACTATCAGTATTATAGAATTTATCCGCCTAGTTTTAAACATACCTTCACTGGAGCTTTGACTTAAGAAAAAAAATGTTTGCCATTAAATAGTTTTGTTACAAAAGACATGGAGCAGAAATCTAACAAAATGTCACTAATTGGAGTATTGATTCAGTGTTAGTTTGAGTTAAGGTTAGAAGACATTCCCTCCAGTAACAATCCAATCAATAAAGCTTAGCATTTCTCCCCCAACAAAAATCCCAAAGCTAAAAGTTAACTAGATACAGTTGACTAGAGATGCCCCAATATTATTCTTCACATGGATATTAAGACTATTTGATTGAAAGCAGAGATAGTTGACAAGTTACCGGTTGACGCTGGAAGTCCATGGGAGGGCGAAGACCAGTACCAGAGCAGGGAGAATCGTCGTCATGGCGGGAGGCGACAAAGTTGTAGACAAACTAGACTGGTCCGTCGTCTGGTCCTAGAACTCGCACCTAGGCTCTAACATGGTTCACAAGTACACAGTCTACCCTTGGCCGGCTGGGGAATATTAGAACATAACTGTAATCATAACTGATCGTGCTGTTAAATGCTGCATAAGAGCGCTACTAGAAAAACGCTAACGTGCATTTGAATATCTGTATAGATTGTCCCTTCATGTAAAATGATTGATGGCTAATTTGATCATCAACCTCTTAAGTGACACTCCTCATTGATTTTCAGCACAACGAAGGGTAAATGGTTGATCTCGTACAAAACCAACATAGGACATAAGAAGAAGTAGAAGTAAGATAGAATTGGCCAATCCTTGTGTTTTTGCGTCAAGTAAATAGTTATTTTCCTACAGTTACCTAACAATGTACATGTTCTTTCACTGATTTGAGAAAGCAAAGTGGCCAATTCTTTCATCAGTGAGACAATGTTAACATTGTCTTACTCCATATTTGCAACGTGAAGGCACGAAATAGTGAGCGCGTAACATGCAGACAAGGTCTTATGCGCACGAAAAACGTTGGCATCCCTGGCTGTAAATCAGCTGGTCAGCTGTTGTACTGTTGTATCATTAAATTTCATATTAAAAGTTCACTTCTGTGTAATAGTATATTACGTTACTAGTCCTGAAAAAAGGTGTTTACCGGACGAGTGTGGTCGTTCCCGTGCGAGACGAAGTCGAGTACGGGATTACCATACGAGTCCGGTACACACATTTTGGACGAGTTACGTACGATAGTTTACACCATACTACTTAATTCGTACAAATCCTTATATATTTCCACCAACTAAAGGACTAAACATCACTAGTCATAACCTCTAAGAGAGGTTATGTTTTTGTTTATAACCAAATCATTGCCACGCAAATACAGTATAATCAGCTGATTGGTGTCCGGTAAAACTCATTGCAGAACAGTATTACGCAATGAAACCCCATTTGAATAAGCTGGTGGCAAACACCTGTTTTCTGGACTAAATCCTTGCGTGGGAAGTTCGTCAAAATAATGTAGTGTGGCGTAAAAATATGTTACGTTTCTGTTTCTTTACCAATTTATTTGTTTTATGGTAACTGTAGGAAAAATATAATGTGCAACTGCACTCGAGTTGCACATTATATTTTCCCTACAGTTACCATAAAAAAATAAATTGGTAAGATACGTGCCTTCACGCTGCAATTCTGGAGTGAGACAAAGTAATTAGAGTGAGACAATGTTAACACTGATGAGCGAATTGGCCACTTTGCTTTCTCAAATCAGTGAGTGAACATGTACATTGTTAGGTAACTGTAGGAAAATAAATTTAATCATTGAAATAACAATAATTGATTTGTTGAGGGTTCAGGAAACTTAGAAAACAAATATGTGCTACAGTACTTGAGGCCAAGGACTCCTTTTCTTCATACTGCAGCAAAAATAACAGGTTTTTATGCATGCAATGCGGGTCTAAAGTAGCGTTTTTACTCTCTAGGGAGTAAAGATCAGCTGGAAATTTTCAATTGTGGCAATCGTATCGATCGATTATTTATCGATTGATTCATTAGGTTAGGTTTTACGTTTTTAACCTAGGCATTGTTATCGATCGCTCAACATATCGATGGTATAATATAATGTCGTTTTTAAAGGTAACATAGGCCACATAACATAGGTAACATACATAGGTAACATAGGTCGTTTGGAGTTGTTATGTAGGTCACATAACAATTATTTCGTTTTCTAGCTTCGTTTGTTAGATGATGCAATATGACGAAAAATATAGTTCACCACACGGGTAAAAAGTGACTTTGTAACCCTCGCCCATTTTCCGACCTCGACATAGCCTCGATCGTAAAACTTGACCTCGGGTCAAAGAGCTCCTCCTAGTGATGAAATATACTATTTTTTATGACGCCTTGCAATGCTTACAGGAGTTTTTTTTATCCATAGGGTAGTAGTATATTACGTCACTAGCCCCGTAAGTGGTGTTTTACCGACGCCTCGCACGTGTGGAATTTTCGTGCTAGTACGTTAAAGCTTACCGGGCTAGTAACGTACGATACTTGACATCATATTACACAGAACAATTACGTTACTTTTCCGGGTTTAGGCACGGTAAAGGGCAACTTTCCAGCCTATCAATACGGATGGAAAAGTACCTTTTTCTGTGTAGTATGATGTAAACAATAATAAACTGGAATAAAGAATAGTTGTTTATTTTTAAATCGTTTACACCAATTTGTATATATCAATAATCAGATTTATTACGAATAATAATTAATCATCGATTGCGATTATAATGTGTTTTTCGTTAAGTTACTGTATAGTTTTTGGCTCGATTTAATGATAAATAAAACATACTCTATAATGTTCCGGCAGTTTACCTCTATTACCACTGAGCTCATGGGAGTTTTTGTCACCTAGACCTACTTCAGATCCGACCCGCCATTGGATATCCACTGGTGTGACCACATAATCTGCGGGTCATCCCAATATGTGGAGCAGAACTAAAACTATTTAAGTTCCCTCTCTCCACTTCCTCAAAAAAGTCAACAAATAACAAAATCTGCTGGCCCCTGTGGCTCATAAGTGCACAATCCGTAACTGGGCTATCATCAGCTGGTGGTGGTGGTACTGACATTTGATTTTAGTGTTCTATTTGATATAGGGTTTAAACATTCCACATTGACTATTGGTCAAAGGTTTAAGTTAATACAATACAACACTGACTTTAATCCTCATTTGTGATGCCTCAGCAATCGGCATGGCCAAAATCCCAGCCACTGTGATATTGAGCAATTAGTTGTAAACATGAAAATAAACGATAACGCAGTACTGTTATCTATAGTGCATGAGTGAAATCGACGTTTAAAGATGACTAGTGTACATGTTGCTCGAATTCGAGCAATTGCAAAGTATTACAGGAATTATTTCAAAACGAATAACAGTCATATTTACAATGTGTTTAAAAGACTCAACTCAATAAGATTACCGGTGTGTACTGTAACTCAGACCATGTTTATCTTCGTTATTGATAAACCTAAAGCATTTCGGCCGGTTTTCTCCTTCTTAAAATGCCTCGCTGTACAGGCAACACAGGTCATGATAGAGAACTAATTGAGAACGAAAAGTCGTCTTGGGGTAGTGTTAGGGCGCATTTGTAACCTAATAGTTGAGTTTGTCCAGGGTCAAGTGCTGACTGTGTGATGAGTTAAGCCTATTACGCTCCACACTGTTCTGTTTCTGTAGCTGCGGTCGTTATCACGATTACGCCTCCTGTTTATGTTTCGTTGTCGTCGCGTCGGAGGCATAAAAAAACAACAAATAAACAAATTATAGCTACGCAAAACAACGATGAATGCACAAATTTAAATTACAATCATGCTAACACGATCCGTCATAGCGACACAAAACAACGATAAATACACAAATTTAAGATACAACCATACTAACACGATCCGTCTTGGGGGTTATGTTTACACAAACTCAAATAGTAAATAAATGTACTCAATGCATTTCATTGAATTGAAAAATAAATAACAGCAATTAAATTATACAGCTGATCAAAATGTAAACAATTATGTTCTTCATCATTGAAATATAGATTATAACTGGAGTCACTACTCTCTGGTTAAACGTTAGAGAAAAACGTGCCACTGTTTTGGCTGGTTTGTTTTTGGTGTTTCGTGTTGTTAGGTTGGCCGTGTGATCGGTTGGTGGGATGCTGTCAAATAATTCCAATTCATTCTAACCTAACCATACTATTTATTTGGGGTTATGTTATCCGTTATTTCAAGGACTTGTATCAAAAACTTATTTAAGTTATTGCACGTTAAAACCTCTGTATTTAAAGTTATTTTGAAACATTATAAATTGTTTTTGTTTGATAGTAAATAAATACTAACTTATTTACCTCTTTTCAAGCTATGTGGTGAAAATAGGCTAGTCAAGTTTCCTGGTTTGGAGATATTGGTTTAGGCCAATAGCCCTATGGCATTTGATTAAATAACGACCATCGGTTTATGATCTTGTTAAAATGGGCTGCGCTTGCTCGTAAAATGAATAAATAAACTTATAATGCAATCATAATGTTGAGTTGGCAGATCTTACTATCGTCAACAAAACAGGATGACGCCATCTTGAATTTGCCTCTAATTTGACAAGTCCCACCATAGACTAACCAACACAAGTAGACTTCTCATCCCATTGTAAATTTTGAAGCTCGTTTTTCGTGTCTAGTTCATGTACGTGACACAAAGGCACTAGTGTCGACGAAACTTTGTTTCTATTGTTTTAGGGTTAATTTCTTGATTTGTGCTTTACTGTTTGGTTATATAACTAGGGGACAAGTTATTGTTTATAATTAGATCAAATTATTTGGTTAAACGTGGTTTTAAATGGCTGTAATAACGGGAAACAAATTGTAAACAAAACACGACCTCTACAGAAAACCGGACAGAACTAACAATAAAATTGGCTTCAGCTGTTCCATAAGGATGGGAAATCTACTAAGGGAGTATTTTTTATCTATGGTCCCACCAACCCGATCACCCGGCCAACCTAACGAAATGAAACTCTGTGTTTCATGTTTGAAATAAAAACACAATTGAAGTTTCAATACTATTTATTATAATTTGTAATTAACATCGACAGAAATACATTTAGGCTGCAGTTAATGAGCCGACATCTTTTATTCTGAATCGGAAATCAAATAATCAAATACACTTAAAAGAGAATACACAAAGACCAAAGAGTAATACCTTTAAACATGGACTTCACTATATACATATATCAACATCCCCTCTCTTTTACAAAATTGAAAATTTTAACTTTCCAAAATACAACTTTAACATTTTCCTTTCAAGTCTAACAAAATATACACCAAAACCTAATCATAAGACAACCGCTTTGGATTTCTTATCAATCTACCCTTTCGGCTTACACAACCATCGAAACTTTTAACAATTTGTTCTTCTGATGATATTCTAGGAGTTAGGCCTACTGGTCTTTGAAA